AGAGAGGAAACAGTCACCTGGTTTGGGGGAAAGGCTTTTCTAGTGTGAGTGACAGGCTGGTGTTTCTAGTCCTTGTCACAACGCAGACGTTGCAAAGAGCATTTGAGATAATGGGTGCATCTACACTGTAGAATTAATGCAGTTTGACACCACTTAAAGGTGTTTAGCCGCCTTTGCTAAATAGTCCTGGTGCCTAACTAAACTATAATTCCTATGATTCCATAGCATTGAGCAATGACAATTAAAATGGTGTTGAACTGCATTAATTCTATGATGTGTTTCAGATACACCTAATGGGTCTGAGAAATTGTTCCTCAAGGAGAACAGTAAGCTGATTTTACTTCTCATGGCACCAATGCATTGCCCAAGAAGTTGGGATTACAATTACAAAATTACAATACATGAAGATTGGAATTAATCCTCTTTCGGCATAACCGTGGTAGCTGAGGGATTCTCGAAATTATTAAAAACATAATGTTTCCAATTTCAACATTAACCTTCTCAAATGTATCTTTCACTTTTGTAACAGCAATATCATCATACGCCAATGTTGGGTGGATCATGCATCCATGCCCGATTCTCCCCAAATGGTCTGTGCCAATGTAATATTAAAGAGGGAAAGGACAAAAAAGCTCACGTAGTACTTGTCAACTTCCAACAGGCAGTCCCTAGGTCCACATATACTTTTGTTCCTTTGTGTTACAAGGCTTTACAAAGAAATAAAAATGAGTACAAGTGGTAACCATTCATATGGCTTTTCTCAACAAAACACTGACCTTTTTAGAGATAAGCAAGAAATTTATTGCAACTATACATTAATTTATTACTTTGTGCTTCCTTTCGAGGTTTGCTTTTTTAACAGATAGGAAAATAATTCAAAGGGTGTTTTTGTTCCACTGAAGGAAGTGCCAAGTTTCCTAGCTTTTCTAAAGGCACCTTCCTCATTCCAAGGTCCCAACATTTTATTGTAGTACAGCGTGTACTTGTTGATTTACAACAAAAAGCAAGTCCCAGAAGCTGACAGGCAGGAGCTGAGCAGTAAAGGATGACTGGGATAGTTGGGAATGCTGTGCTCTCGTTCTTGGTACAGCAAAGGCATTTATTTACACTCTGTAACAAATTTTGAAAAAATCCTGTTCCTGGTTTGAAAGGGATATTCCAGTTTAGAAAAGAAAACATAAAAATAATGATTTAAAGACCTTATTCAGCATCTGAATATATACAGAAAAATTTTACCATTAAGAACACAGTAGAATAATGGAATAAAGGTGGGATTTGGGACAATAAAGATAATATAATATAATTACACTTTTTAAAACCACCACCAAGAAGCAGATAGAAGTCACTTTTTAAGTCGATTTTTGTCAATTTTTTTCTTCCTCGTCACTTTTTTGTTCTAGCTCATTTCCTACTTTTCTATCTTCTTCACAATAATCCCCCACTTTCCTTGCAACTATATATTCTCTCAATGAAAAATTAATTTGAAGAATTGTGTGGTACTTACTTTGAAAGTACTTGTTATAACCCAAAGCTTTTTGCAGTTTAATAAACTTTTCCCATGTTTTTATGACAGAACCAATTAGGAAATGACATTTATAACCCAGGAACAGAAATTGTGTTGCATAGGGTTATAGTCAGATTTAATGGGAACGAAATGAATACATAGTAAGTCCTATATCTGTTAAGTCACCTTGGATACCTCTTGACTGCCTAGGATTTCTATATATATTTTAAATTTTAGCCTGCATATTTATAAACAGATTTTGACCAAATTTAATATTTATGCTTAGGTTGACATCCAGAACGTCTTTGTACACACTCAGGACTAGTAGCCTTTGTCCACTGCCACAGTGGTCCAAGCTCGTTACATCTCGATTAGACTACTGCAATGCACTCTATGTGGGGCTGCCTTTGAAGACTGCCCGGAAGCTTCAATTAGTCCAACAGGTTGCTCACCGGAGCGGCGTACAGGGAGCATACAACTCCTCTGTTACGCCAGCTTCACTGGTTGCCGATCTGTTACCGAGCAAAATTAAAAGTGCTGGTTTTAACCTTTAAAGCTCTAAATGGTTTTGGCCCAGACTACATGTCTGAACGTATCTCTTACTACGAATCATCATGAAGTTTAAGATCACCTGGAGAGGCCCTGCTCTCGATCCCACTGCCGTTGCAAATGCAATTGGTGGAGACGAGAGACAGGGCCTTCTCAACAGTGGCTCCCCGTCTGTGGAATTCCCTTCCCAAAGACATCCGACTGTCCACCTCCCTCCTGTCCTTTAGAAGGAAACTCATGACTTGGCTGTGGGACCTTGCATTTGACCATTGAATAGCGGCTTGTATGAAGAAGACAATAAGTAATTTTGAAGTGACAATGAATTGATCCGGGCCTGGATTTTAATTGGCGTGTTTTAACCACTGTTTATTTAATGGTTTGTTTTAATGAAATTGTTGATTATTCTTATCATTATGGTGGCACTGAATGGTGTTTGCTGTGAGGCCGCCCCGAGTCCTCCCTTGGAGGTGAGAAGGGCGGGGGTACAAGTATATAAAATAAATAAATAAATAAAATGCTTGGTTGGGTCCATTTTACAGGGATCTGGGTGACCCCTACAAAATGAGGATTGTAAATGTATTATTGAAGGCTTTCACGGCCGGAATCACTGGGTTGTTGTAGGTTTTTCAGGCTATATGGCCATATTCTAGAAGTGTTCTAGAACATGACCACATAGCCTGAAAAACCCACAACAACCCAGGACTGTAAATGGTACCAGTCTAACAGTTGTTTCATTCCAACTGTAAGCAAAAGAATTAACCTATGCAAATGGGTAAATTTATTACCGGAGGACAATTATTTGTCAAACAAAATAATTACTGAAATAACGTAGGGAAAACAATCCAATGCTATTTCATCAGCTACTTATTTCAGTATCTTTCATGAGCCAAGGATCCACCCATTTTCCTCACTTCATACTACCTACATCTATTTTCAAAACTAATGAGAACTGACAGCTCTCGTTCCAATTGTATAGGTGGAATGGCCACTGAACAGCCCAAGGTGCTATTATTCTCCCAAACCACTAAACATGCTCCCCTTACAAGTGCTTTGACTGATCAGGGAGAGAGGTAAGACTGTAAAACATATTAACTTCAGGTGTACTTGATGGGAATCTTGTGTTGCCAAGATATTCCTAAATAGATTTGATGTTAATCCATAAACTGAGAAGATGAGAAATCAAGAGATACATCAAACTTCAATTTATTTACTAAACAATTTTGTAATGTTATTTGATAATCCCACACAACAAAATTCAAATTGCACAATTCAATCCAAATGGAGTATGGCACAACTAAGTACGACACAGATGGAGGACAGTAAGAGCTGTTTGGCAGTGGAATACGCTGGCTCTTCAAAGTGTGATGGAGTTTCTTTTTCTGGAGCTTTGGGAACAGAGGCTGAATTGGCATCTGCTGGGAGTGCTTTGATTCCATATTCCTGAATGGCAGGGAGCTGAACTGGACAGCCCTTGGGGTGTCTTCAACTCTAGGATTCTAAGAAGCAATGTGCTTTAATTACAGGAAACTATTGGAGTGGATGAAGAGAAGTTCAGCAGTGAAATCAGCTGTTAGGAAGACTATGGGAACTTACTGCATTTTATTTAAAAAAGGGCAAGGGTCAAGCTAAACAAGAAAAAGCCAAAGCAATGAGTGCAATAGCTGTTATTATTAATAATAATATAATAATAAATCTTTATTTGTACCCCGCTACCATCTCCCGAAGGACTCGGTGTGGCTTACAAGAGGCCGAGCCCAAATACAACAATAAACAGCAGCAGCAACAACAACACAATAACTCAAAAAACAAAACAATAGCAAAGAATAGCAATAACATTAACAACACCCAATGACGCAATTAAAAACAATGGCCGGGCCAAATGTAATAATTAAAACTAAAATTAAAAGTGCTGGGCATGACAAGGTGGGGTGTTTGGATGGGGATGGACATGCAGATATCCTGGGTCTCTGATAAAGTGCGTTGGGACATAATGCTAGGAGTTTCCTTATTCTGGAAAGGCACACTGGAACAACCACGTTTTCAAGCTCCTCCTAAAGATTGCTAGCGACGGGGCTTAGGGAGAGAGTTCCAGAGTCGAGGGGCCACCACTGAGAAAAGATCAAGTGAATGAACATACATAATGTGGTCCTTCAGTTTATGTAACTATTTCATTTCCAGGATACTTTGAAACATTTATTTTTAAAAAATCAAAAACCAATAGCTGTAGATCTGTGGTTCCCAAATTGTGGCCCGTGGACTACCAGTGGTCCGTAAGAACTAAAATTTGGTTCGTGGCCTCACTGTTACTACACCGTTGCAATGAGAGCGACTGGTCTGAGGAAACTCTCTTATAGTGCTAAGGCTTATTAAACATGGTTTTCTGTGGGCGAGCAGGTGGCGACTACTGGATGGCAATATGTTCTCTATCAGGAACTAGAGCTGATGTGGTCTATCCAATGCAATTTTCTGAATCAGCACCCCAAATAACCAAACCAAATCTAAAGTTGAACAAAAACTGATTCGTAACCCCTTGGATAATTTGTAAGCCATTCGCCAACATTTTGGTTGTTGTTGGTTGGTTGTAACCCTTTGGATAATTTGTAACTCATTCCTTTGTTGGCCTGGAACACTGTAATTCAGCAAATCATATCTTATTAAGTTTATTTCTTTTTAAGAAGGAAAGGAAAAAGTTTATTTCTCATGGGAAAATAGTGGAATAACATGTTTATCCAGTGATCCAAATAAAGATGTTAAAATGGATGAAGTATTCTCCACTTAACTTTGACCAATCCCCCATCCATTAACTAACTATTCAAAAAAGTATTATAAATTAGGTTGTAATATTTTGAGTGATTTCAATTGAAATGAACAAATAGCAAGAGAAGGACAAATGTAATATATTCAATAATGTAATATTTGGGTTAGTGAAATAAGTGAAGAGGTAGACTTGTGCAAAACACAAGATTTTTTTATTTGTAGAGGGAAAGTGTCCATGTAAAGATGAAATTATTCTCCATTCAAACATAGTAATAAATATTTCCACATAAATTTAGTATTTCACACAAATTATAATGATGAGTTTTGTATCCCTATTACTGCTAGAGCTTCATGGGTCAACATTTTGTAAAGAAAGAAAATATGTAGCAACAATTTCATCGTGGTCGCCACTTAATGTCCTTTACACCATGAAATTGTCTTTTCAAGGCATGACTGTCAGCCCATTCAGAATCTAAACATGCATCGTCATCATTTTCTTCTAATTTCTGGGGGAAAACAGCAAAGAAAAAATGTCATCAACTTCAAACACATTTATATACATATCTTTCCATAAATACAAATGTTGCACCAACACTTGATACCTTGAGCTCCTCTTGTCTTTTGTGATAAAACAGAATCATCTGTTTGTGGTCTTCACTGCTGATGACAGGCTCACGGGCTGGAGCTCCTTGTCCTTTCTGCAGAAATATGTCATGAGTACACATTATTCTGTCATGACACTCAAAATGGACGAATGCTTAAAAAGCATGATATAAAACATTGCAACAATCTGTTACTCCACAATGCTGGTGTGTACATTTTTTAACTTCAAAGGCTATACAAGCATGTGAGCACCCGAGCCACCTGGCCACAATGCCAGGCAGGATCAGACTCTCTGCCATTGGCAATGTGGAAGCACTGGTTGCAACTGCAAGAATAAGAACCCTTATCTTTATCAGGGATAGAAATCATTGCTTCTTTTGTACATCCTTACCTGCTTTAATGGGGAAGGAGTGAGGAAATAGGGAACTGCATCTGAATCTATAATAATAATATAATAATAAAACTTATACCCTGCCACATCTCCCTGAGGGGACTCGGGGTGGCTTACATGAGGCCAAGCCCAAGAACACATCAGTAAAAACAAAATAGCAAACAGTATAGAAGCTAGCTTGCAGCCTATAGACCATGCACCCGGCTCAAATATGATTTTTGAAAACACAGAACATAAGGCTGAGGTTCTTGGGTCAGAGATAAGCCATAACCAAACACATCATTTTGTAGTATGTACATGATGAGCTAAATAAAAACTGCCATTCATTCTTGTGAAGAAACATGGAAATGATGAATTCTTGCAGTTCCCTTCGGATGCCAGAAAAACTCTTCTTGGTCCAAAATGTATGTTGCGATTTCTTTCAGGACAACAAGAATGAAATGAATGCAGTGATATGTATTAAGAGCTCTTGCTGCAGAGACAGCTTTAGACAATCAGCGCAAAAGCACAGTAAGAAGGAATTCTACTCACTTTTTGTATTTTAACAATAATTTTGGTTTTTTCATTTTTGCCCACATAGTCAGAAAGTTTGTTTGTTTTCTTCAGCTCCTTTCCTGCCCACCACAGTTGCGCCTCTGATTCCTCAATCACCTCAAGTGCAGCCTATGACAAATTAAGTCATAAAATGTTTGAAGTTTCAACAATGAATACATAGATTACAGTTTGTACAGAGTTCAGTTTTATGGAATAGCAGAGTAGTGTTGGGTAGGACTATTTATTCCTTGTTACCAAACAGTTCTATTGAACAAACAGAACAGCAACAGAAACCCTGCTGAACAGGAAATCCTGCTAACTCTCTTTTAACAAAAAGCCCAAGAACAGAAAGGCCTAATAGATGACGGGTTCATTCAAGTATTGTTGAGATACTACACCATGGAGAAGAAGTGAAGCCTCTGTCATACCATTCTGAACTCACTTATCTCATTTTAAAAGCTAAGCAGGTTTGGGTCTAGTATCTGAATGCAAGACTGCTAAGGAGTAACAGGGATCTTCCGGGGGAATTAGGAAAAAATCTTATATGGAAAACTACTGCCAGTCAGTGTTAACTATACTGGGCCAGATAGTCCTAAGATCTGATTCAGTATAAGTCAGCTTTATGTGTTCTCTTTTTAAAATAAATCAAGAACTAGAATCGATGACTTAAAATACAACACCACCACTGTCTTTGCAGCTGATTATGTAAAGTGACAAATATCAGGAGTTAAACTATTCAGACTTAAGATTAGGTCAGGAAGCCAACTCAAGTCTCAAGAAAGTGCTGTTAATTTTCTTTTTATTTCTGTTTAATGTAGCAGCCATTTTTTCATTAAAAACCTTGGCATTTACATTTAATTTGCAAGTATCAAATCTAACCATTTTAAGGGTAAATGAACCATCATATCATCTAACTTCATGATTTCTAACAAATCGCTGAATTTATACAAGTTTGAAATTATGGAATTAAATCATTGCTAATTTCTACTAAAACTGACCCACTGAAACAATGGCAAATAAGATTTAGCAAGTTCTCATTAACTCAATGGGTCTAGTTTGGCTGGGAGAAGCAACTGAAATGAGACAATCTGCATACCCTTGAAAGTGTAATTTTATAGAAATGGTAAATTGCTCTGAAGTTTAAAAGCACAGGAAGGCCCTAATGAAGAAACAACAGTTAACAGTGTTTCTAGGAAGTTGTCCCTTTCCCTCCCAAGAAGAAAAGCAATCTTTTAATGTAAAATGTAGATGCTGCACAGGCCTCTGGTATGAAACAGATATATATATATATATATATATATATATATATATATATATATATATATACACACACACACACACACACACACACATATACATATATACATACATATACGTACATATACATACATACATACATACATATACATATACATATACATATATATATATAGGAAATAGTACACAAATAAATATATCCATGTTCTGCAAAATTCTTTTTTCATTTTGGGAAAAACAGCACTGACATACATGAGTTCCTGACAGATCTTCTTTATCTTCAAACTCCATTCTAACTGGGTCATATGGAGGGAGGCCCATGGGGTAAACAATCATAACAGCTCCTCGAAGCTGGTCCAGTGCATCTTTCACCATGTCAATAGTAACACACACATTGGCTTGAATTTGTTTCTGCAATACAGACAGATACCATTGAAATTAACAAACTAACAAGGCACAAAGCTTTCCCTTCAGTCTACAATGTAACTCAGCATGGCATTTCAAATAACAAAGAATGCCTCTACTGCTTTTTTCCTGGTTCATTAACAGACAGCATATAAATGTTTGCTTTACTGCTCCTTCAGCAAAGCAGTTTATATTGGCTGAGGTAGAAAGGAAATCTATTAAAAAGATTTTTTTTAAACATAACAGTGGCAGATAACATCCTGGTTTGTAATTACTGCAAAACTGTGAGTTCAATTGCTTTTTAAAAAATTACTACTTTCAAGTTATAAAACATATTTCAAAAAACACCTTTATTAGCTAAAGTCAATAATATGATCTAGAGTTCAGCATATCAGAAAGATCCACTGCCTACTACAAAATAATTATTAAGTGTCTACTTCACTTTCCTACGAAAAATCTTATGCAGAGAGAACTCCTAACTGAACAGATATGGACAAGAAGGTGGAAGAAGAGAGACTCCTAGTGGACAAATATTTTAGGCAGGTTTTGGGTGGTATTAAACATCTCTCCTGGACTATTCTAAAGCAGTGGCCAGCTTCTAAACCAGTAACAGTAAAAAAATGAAGGCTGTGTGATATCCCCTACTCACTTTTAAATACTCCAAGCCCACTAGCACTGATCCAAAGCCCCTGGATCCCTTCACCATTTTTTTCTAAATGTTTGGTGGAGAAAATCACATTCAAATAGCCCAAACTGCTACAAAATGGCTCAAAAAATGGCAGTTTGTTTGGATTTGGCCCCCACTGCCCCCAACAAAATTCTTAAAAATATAATTGCCTCAAAACCAAGTGATATCCTGGTATTTCAGGAATGCATTGGTGCCGCTCAGTCTGTATTTGAGTTCAGCTTGAGTTCAACTGCCTATTCTGCTCTAAGACTGCATGTCAACAAACATAACAAACCTGAAAAACAGTGATCACACTGTTAGAGACTGGTTTTGAAAATGAAACAATACAAAATGCCAGAGTAACTAGAGTCATAGGGGAATCTAATTAATAATAAAATACATTGGCACCATAGCACCTACAGTATTCTGGGACCAGTACAGTAGACCAAATACTCCACAAAGCTCTTGAGGTATAAATGACACACCTAAATTAACTACAGTTTTTTCAAGCCACGAGATGGCAGACTTTGACAGCTTCACTCTTTGACTGCACAAGATCAGGGTTTCAATTGTTTCATTTAATAGGTGAGGTAACTTGATTTTTATCTACTTTTTCCTGGAAAACTAAAAGTGTACTGTAACTTCATCATTCACATTAAAAAGTTTCAATCATATGTTTGGTATTTCATAACAACAACACAAATATCCTACCTTAGATATCAGTGCTTTAGCTTCTTCAACTGTTGCTTTTAAAACTTGTTTCATTTTTTCATTTGGAGCTTAAAATTAGAAAAACACAGTTAATACCGCAAGACATTGCGCAAACAAGAAAGTTGTATTTTAAAAAAGGAATATATGTATTACAAAATATGCTTTATGAATTAAAATCCATATTTCAAAGCTTATGCTTTGTGCAAAAAAACGTTCTAGTTAGTCTTTGATCAGCTCAAGAGGACTTTAAAAATGTAGCACAACTTACAAAGTAGACTTTTGCTGGCTATTTGTTGTAGTTTATCCTAATTTGGAACACCTAGGAACATGAATAATGCTATTTAGAATAGTGCAAATGAAAGGCTTGAGTGCAAAAACATGGAAATGGAATTTTGCTCATTTGCTTTTTGGGCTGCTTTTTCTTCACTGAAGATTGGGAGACCCTCCAGAGCAATACAGGAGAGTGCTGCTGGAACTTTGAGAAAGGTCACACTGGGGAAACAAAAGTATTTTTCACGTTGTGTATGGCAGATTATAAAAGCTACACCTTTCACCAGCAAAATTCGTGTTTATCCAGTGCTATAAGTTTTTCCCAATGTTACATTATCTTAGAAGCTCTTCTTGTGCTCTGTAGCTAGCTACGATATATTCCTGAACAGCACTAACAGTACATTGGAATTTTCATTCAAAAACTAGTGTGAAAAATAGAAGTGTTATATTTCCCCCCCCCCCCCCCTTCTTCCTGCGACTTCCCATCATTAAGGCAGGCCATACGTATTGTGCTACTGACATTGTATCAAAGATTTCCTCTGTACAGCGCTAGGCATGAAAAAAGGTTTGACCCTGCCTTAGGGGTCGTGTAGAAAAACCTACCTTATTTTTGTGCACATGCAAATCTGTAATTTTAATGTAAAGCGGAAATAGCAAGTCATTTCCACAACAGTCAAATCGTTTTTCCATAAAATCTCCTGCTGGCTTTTTATCTCTGCATAAACTATATTTATTTACCATGGCCATTTCTCCGTCCAATTTCATCTTTTTTAAAGATGCTTCCACCACTAGGGATACATTTTCCTGCCCATTCATCCTTTAGTTTCAGCTCTTCAATTTGTTCATCTGTCAATCCTTGCATATTGGGGGGCAAGAAAATGCCATGTTCTGCAAGAGATTCCACCTCTTCCAAAAAATAAATAAATTAGAGAACGGAAAAATAATGTTAGATTCATTTTAATAGTGTATTCAGCAAAGACTTTAGCTTTTAAAAACAAGAGCTGCACATTTTCCATGACACTGAATATTTTTTGCCTAAGAATTGCTTATGAAGTTCATGAAACCTAAACAGACACACAAAAAGTAAGAATGTATTTTAAATGATGTAGTTCATGTTTAGAAACATAATTTCACATATAAATCTTACAGGGATGACTAAGGAATCATTAATAACTTTTCATTTTAGAAAAGACACTGGTTAACATTCCAAATAGCAAAACCATGCAATTCCACCAGGTAAATGAATTCTTTGCACAGCACACTTTGGCCAGAAATTCTCCAAATAAATCATATGAGCAACGAGAAGACTAAAAAGGATTCTAGTTGTTAGTACAGATTGAACATTCCTTATCAGGAATTCCAAAATACTCTGCATGGAAGTCTGTGATAGTGATAATGTGGTTTTCTCATGGTTCAGTGCACACTTTTTTTCTATACATGATTATTTACAGTACTATATATAAAATTACATCCAGGCTATATGTATATGTATATGTATATGTGTATGTGTATTATTTCACTGTTTATACTTGGATCTCCTCTCAAAGATATCTCATAATTTGCATGCAAGTATTCCAAAATCTGAAAAAAAATCAAAATAAGGAATATATCTATCCCAAGCATTTCAGATAAGGGATACTCAACTTGCATAACAATTCAATAGTTCTATATAGAAACAGGTTACATGTTAAGACAGAAAGGAAATGCATAGATTATTAGTTCCAACTATAGGCAGATCCCCAAAGTTACGAACAAGATAGGTTCTGTAGATTTCTGAAGTTAAATTTATGTGTAAGTTGGAACATATATATTTTAAGCGTAAGCTTCAGAGAAGTGTGTGTGTGTGTGTGTGTGTGTATATATATACACACACACACACACACACACATACATACATACAGATATAGGTAAGTTTTGTATAGCATAAGGAAGCATTAACACCCCTGTGGTGTCTGTTTGAAGCAATCTGCAGCTTCAAAGCCTGGCTGGTTGTTTACGTGGGGTTGGGAGTATCCTTTGTTGAGAGGTGTTAGCTGGCCCTGATTGAGTCTTGTCTGGAATTTTTTTAGTATTCTTTATTTATAAAGAGCAACACTCAGAGTAAATAAGTAAAGAACAACACTTAAAAAAACTGGTAAGAATCAATCAGGGCCAGCTAACAACTCCCAACAAAGGATTTCCTCAGGCAGGAATCAGCCAATCTTTGAAGCTGCAAGGCTATTCAGCGCTAATCAAGATGACCAACTGTAACATTCATACTTGCCTCAAACAAACAAGAGTTCTTTCTCCCACCCTGGACATTCCACAGATACTTGCCTAGTTTCCATCAGACCTCACTTCCACTAAGGATTCCTGCCATAGATGAAACGTCAGGAGAGAATATTTCTGGAACATGGCCAGACAACCCAGAAAACTCACTGCAACCCAGTGATATTGGCCATGAAAGCATTTGATAACGAAATGCATGTGATTCGTTCCAACTATAGTTATACCCACAGAATTCATGAGAATCTCACTGGATGATACTCAAGTTTCATTGATTAAGTGGTCTGTATAAAGTTGAGCCCTCCCAGCATCCTTCCTCATTGGCTATGCTGGCAAGAGCTAATGGCCCGTGACAAACTGAGGACATTTGAAGAGCCAGACTTTGCTGAGAAATATTGTCTGAGAAAGAAGGTATTTTAGGGTGAAAATCCTGTCATACATTCTGTACCTGCACAAATGCGTTGAACTTTGAGCCTTCCATTGTAGATCTTATTTACTTCTTGTGTTAAATTCTCGATGGAACTACTGCACGTTTCCTTCAGGAGGAATTGGTCTTCGTCGCCGTGCTTAATATGGAGTAGAACCATTTCTGTAAAGGCAGACACACCAAGTTCAGGTGATTCGGTAATTAAATGGCTAGTCAAGCATGGGCAAACTTGGGCCCTCCTCCAGGTGTTTTGGACTTCAACTCCCACCATTCCTAACAGCCTACCGGCTGTTAGGAATGGTGGGAGTTGAAGTCCAAAACACCTGGAGGAGGGCCCAAGTTTGCCCATGCCTGTGTCAGGGGCTTACAATTTCAATATTGGCACAGAAGTCACACAGACATGGAAGAAACAATCAGATGCTTGCAATGAGGCAACTCAGGTGGGGAATGAAGCCCTTGCCACTCCCAAACAGATTTCCCTGGGAGAAATACTTCCTATGTCGCTCTCCTTTCAAACTCCATCAAAGAAGTTACTTTTAAGGTAGAAATTACCCAAGTTGCAAGAACCGCTGTGAGTCGCCTTCGGGCTGAGAACAGCAGTATATAAGTAAAGTAAAGTAAATAAATAAATAATAAAGGAGAAGCACTTTAGTAAGCAAAGGCAGGTACGCGAGGCCAGGCGGCTTCCTCAAAACAGGCCCTTCCGTTTCCATGGAAACCAACCACAACAGCTCTTCCTTCTCCCTCCCTCCGCGCCCAGGAAAGCCAGGAGAGGCCTCAACTTGGTCCAGGCCAAGCCTCGGCAGCGAATATCCCCGCTCCACTTCTCCTCCTCCTTCTGTGGCTATGCCAGAGCCCGAAACGTGGAAGTAAGGCCGGCTTTAGCTCTCCCCAAAGGGTTCCTCTCAAGGCCTAGCCTACCAAAGGCGCTCACTCAGGCGAGGAAGCCGCCGAAAGGCCGCGCATGCGCTGTTGGCACTCGGCGGCCTTGGCTCCGCCCCCCAGTGGGCGGGGAAAGGATAGATTGACAGGGCAGAGGGGCGGGGCTCTCATCTTACTTGTCCAGTCCTAGGATGTAACACTGTAGGGTTAAGGCAGTCGTAGTTTTGCAAGTTTTTGAGCCTTTTTGGTCAAATAGTGTGGTTCTCAACCTGGGGTCTCCAGATGTTTTTGGCCTTCAACTCCCAGAAATCCGAACAGCTGGTAAACTGGCTGGGATTTCTGGGAGTTGTAGGCCAAAAACATCTGGGGACCCCCGGTTGAGAACCACTGTGACAAACTGCAAATCCCATGGCTCCATAGTATTGAGCCATGGCAGTTAAAGTGGTGTCAAGCTGCATTCATTCTGCACCTTCAGAGATGAGAGCATAACTCACTAACCCAGGCCTGAGTTTAAGTAGCTGAGGGGGGAAAGGAAAGGGCCTGAGGCTGTTAGGAATGAGTGGGAGTTGAAGTCCAAAACTTCAGTTTTGGAAGGCCCAAGTTTGCCCAGGCTTGCACTAACCTCAATTTTAGTGTCTCCTTTCTGAAATGCTTGGGACCAGATGTAATTTGATTTTCCAATAATTCCAGGCTTCAAGGCAATCCCTCGTTGTCTGAGTAGGATTGTCCTGGCGGTGGGTCCGTAAGTGACTGTGGAGCCCTATTGATCTGCATGTTCTCCCTCAATGAGGACATTGGTTTCCAGGTGGAAGGCGGTCCCGGTCAGGATTGGCTTGATGCGCCTTCCTCTTGGCGTGTTTCTCTCTTTCGCCCTCCATTTGTGCCTCTTCAAATTCTGCAGCACTGCTGGTCACAGCTGACCTCCAGCTGGAGCGCTCAAAGGCCTGGGCTTCCCAGTTCTCAGTGTCTATGCCAGAGTTTTTGAGGTTGACTTTAAGCCCATCTTTAAATCTCTTTTCCTGTCCTCCAACATTCTGTTTTCCATTCTTGAGTTCGGAGTAGAGCAACTGCTTTGGGAGACGGTGGTCGGGCATCCGGACAATGTGGCCGGTCGAGCGGAGTTGATGGCGGAGGACCATCGCTTCAATGCTGGTGGTCTTTGCTTCTTCCAGTACACTGACATTTGTCCGCCTGTCTTCCCAAGACATTTGCAGGATTTTTCGGAGGCAACACTGATGGAATTGTTCTAGGATCTCCCTCTACATCCCATCTCGAAATTTAAGATCGTCTGGGGAGGCCCTGCTCTCGACTCCGCCACTATCACAAGTGAGGTTGGCGGGGACGAGGAGCAGGGCCTTCTCAGTGGTGGCCCCTCACCTGTGGAACTCACTCCCCGGGGAGATTAGATCAGCGACCTCCCTTTTGGCGTTCAGGAAAAAACGGAAGACCTGGATATGGGACCAAGCTTTTGGACATTCTGGCAGCTAAGGGAAGATCTGACGATAAACATGGGCGAATGGAATGGAATGGATATACGGAACTCTGAACACTGAGCATGAGATTGTTTTGCTATTTTATTATGTACTAATGTTTTTAACTTGTTAACTGTTTAAATCGTTTTTAGGTATTGTTTATTGATTCAGGCATCGAACTGAGCCGTTGTTTGTAAGCCGCCCTGAGTCCCCCCTCGGGGGTGAGAAGGGCGGGGTATAAGTAATTGAAATAAATAAATAAATAAATAAATAGGAGTTGCACGTGACGTCTGTAGATAGTCCATGTTTTGCAAGCGTATAGCAGGGTTGGGAGGACAATAGCTTTATAAACAAGCACCTTGGAATCCCTACAGATGTCTCGGTCCTCAAACACTGTGCTTCATTCGGAAGAATGCTGTACTTGCAGAGCTCAGTGTCAGTGTTGACTTTTGTGGAGAGGTGGCTCTCTCCAATCAGAACTCTGGCTCCTGGCATGCTCAGCCAATCAGCTGCCGACACGTCTTTCCAGTCAACCCATCAAATCATGGTGTCTCTTTACAAATCCTCACAGTGTCTACAATGTGGTCAACAGTGTATACTTACTATCATTGTTCTCTGTACTTTTAGGGGTATGTTTTAATCTTTTAATTTCTGTAAGGTTCTAATCCTGTGATAAAGGCAGAATAAGGACGTATGTCGCCAACATGAAATGTTTGGAAAGCTCTTCCTTAGTGGATAAACCGATATTATTTAAGATACTGTTCTACAATCTATGTTTTAAATAGACAAAAGCCTTCCAGAGATCTGTAAAGTTTCTAATGAAAATGTAATATATTCCCTGCCATAAGCTGTAATGCAATGAATGTATGGTCCCTTACACGTAATATAATAAAAGCAATGTGCCTAGACATGGATTTTCTCCTAAGAGAAGTGTATATCTATGACTGCATATTATTATTATTATAATTAGTAGTAGTAGTAATAGTAGTAGTAGTAGTAGAAGAAGAAGAAGAATATTTATATCCTGCTTTATCTCTCCTGCAGGATAAGTGGCTATAATAAATAGCCTAAGCAATTAACAAAGAGGCAGCTCATTTTCCCATATAAATTTCCTGAGACCCCAGGACTTAAGAATGCTTAACTGGAGTATTGATGTTAACTCCCTGCATGAATTTTCATCCCTTCACAAGTTTGGTGGTCAGGAGGTGATAAAGAAACACCAGACAAAAAACAGATGACAAATAGCAAAGGACGCTCAACCCCTCAGTCTAAAACAGCGGTTCCCAACCTATTGTCTGTGGACCACCAGTGGTCCATGTGAACGAAAATATGGTCCGTGGCCTCACCATTACTACACCATTGCCTTGAAACCATGTGGCAATGAGATCGACTAGTCTCTTGAAACCCTCTTATAGTGCTGCGGCAATGGAAATGTTAGGAGGAGAGAGGGTGGCTACCCATGAAAGATTACTATTACAATATCAGCTCCAGATTATTAAATATGGTTTTCTGTGGGTGAGCAGATGGCGATTACTGGATGGCATATGTTCGGTATCAGAAACTAAAGCTGATGTGGTTTATCCTATGCAATTTTCTAAATAAATACCCTAAATAATCAAACCACATCAAAAGTTGATCAAAAACCAATTTGTAATTCTTTTGGTACTAATGTTGGAGAGTAGTCCCAGGCCAAAGTGTCCCTGGTTAAAGTGATCCTTGGTCAAGTGGTCCATGATGAAAAAATGTTGGGAACTACTGGCCTAAAGGGGATGACCAAGCCTGTTTTAGGACATGGAATAACTAACATTAGAGTGTAGGAACCTTTTTGGGAAGTATCAAAAGAAGCCACAGCAAAATGAGCAGGGACCACATATGATTCTTATCAGTCTGGACATCTTACCATCAATCATATACAATGTTTCTGAATTCTATGTTTGTCTTTCATAACTGGCACAAGACTGCCAAAAACCCGAGGACACATTAGTGAGCAACACTCTTGCAATGTCAATGACTGGAGACTCGTCTTCTGAAATATTTATTTATTTATTTCATTAATGCAACTTCACATTTCACAGGATATGTATGGATAATGTAGACTACTGAATTAATACTGTACTTTTGTAATGGATATAGTCAAGTCTTGTGTGTACCACGAGCAATAATTTGTTACACATTAACAAAGCAATCTGCCACAGGGAACACACTCCATGAAAACATATAACAGTTTTTTACACAGTTGGTAATTTCTATATGTTATTGCATTCAGCAATAAACACTATGATGGTTAATTATTAATTCGATGCTTGTAGGTGCTTTGTTGCATATTTGTGGTAGTTTGCTGCCAGATTTTGTAGTACTTTGGGGAATATATTTTAAATACTATAGAAAAACTGTAATAATTGAAAATAAATATTTAAACAAGGACCACATATCACTGAACTGTAATTTGCATTAACTTTCCAGAACACAACTGCTTGGCTAGCATATTATACCAAAGCACGATCACATAAATGTTAATAATCAGAGTTTTAACTAGTTAAGTCACATACAGAAGCACAAGGGTTATATTATGGTACCACGGCTGTTTCAAAATGTACAAGTACTTTTAAAAGCACGATATAGAACTTACTGTATTTACTTCTTTAATCAATTGCAGCTGATAGATATGCAGTGTTAAATGGGATGATGTCTACAAATATACTCAGGCAGTATTAAAGAATTTAGAAATGTTTCCCCCTCTGCTCCAAGGAATGTTGTGGTTCACTCATAGGCTATGAAGGAGCAGACAAGCAGATTTGCTTGACTAATCAGTTAAGAGCAGACTGCGAACAGAGTAATAAGAACAGACACATTTAGTGAGGCCCCTCTAAAAAAATGATCTTTCACAAATTTAAAAAAGCAAGCAAGCAATATAAATAGCTGTGACAAGAATAAGAAAGGGAGTCTAGCTCATCTAACAAAGTATTCATGAAAAAAACCCTTCATGGCACTGAAATACTATATAGTTAAATGCCATTTGTTGCAAAAACATGGGGCTATCCCCATTTTTGGATTTACAAAGCATTGTGCAACCTCAGACAAAATTACATCCGTTAAACATCCTGTGTGATTCTGACAGCTTGCTTCTGTCTTGGGAAGCTCATACTTCGAAAAAAATGTAATGGGACAATACAAAAATAGTCTGTTCTTCTGAAACCAAATTTGAAACACAGCACTTCTATACATAGCAAGGCAGGAAGCAAACAAAATTGAAATTTGTGGACCATATATACGATTACTTCTTTACCCACATCTTCATATCAAAATGACTGCATGGAATACTTCAGTAACAAGATTTTGCTCTACGTTGAAAGCAAAAAATCATTTTTTTCTTGTAAGTTAGAATGGGAAAGTTGTTCACCTTGAATTGTGTTGAAAGCAAAAAGTAAAGTGGGATTATAATTAAATCACATTTCCCACGTGTGTAAAACAATAATATATTTGCAGTGAAACATAATATATATTACTATATGCTATTTACGTAAATGTTTCCTTGTCTCCTATGTGAATTTCACTCTATGAAATATTCATAAATCTCTAGAATAGAATTTATTTCCCCCATATTACCTTTAAACAGTCAGTATTTTAATTAAACTTTGGCAG